AGAGAAAGACAAACATCACATGATCTCGCTTATACATGGAATCTAAAGAACTTAATAAACTGATGAACAGAATAGATTCAATGACATGGAAGCACGCATCAGACTGATGAAGGTCAGAGGGATAGAGGAGGGTGGGTGGGGAGAGGGGGAGAGAGTAACCAAAGAATTTATATGCATATATGCACAACCCAAGGACACGGACAATGGTGGGAAGAGGGACTGGGGAGGGGGATGGGACAGGGTGGAACGGGTCTTTGGGGGTAAAAAGGGACATCTGTAATATTTTAAACAAAAATAAAATTTAAAATAAAAAAAAACAAACAAAAAAACACTTTAGAAAACAATTTGGCAGTTTCTTGTTAAGTTAAATATATACTTTGTATATGACCCAGCAATTCCAATTCTAGATTTTCCTTTAGATAAAACATGAAAACACATGTTTACACAAAACATATGAAACAAAACATATGAGAACATATGTCCACACAAAATCTTGTCCATTAATGATCATAGCAGTTTTATTCAAATAACCAAAACCTGTACAATAAAAATGTCCATCAACAAGTAAATAGATAACTTATGGTATATCCATCCCATAAAATATTACTCAGAAATAAACAGGAACAAACTATTGATATTTATAACAGAATAGATGAACCTCAAAAGCATTATGTTGAGCAAAAAAGAAAGACACAAAAAAGTGTATTCTCTATGATTGCCATTTATATAAGATTCTAGGACAGGCAAAACTTATTTATCTTGTCAGAAGGCAGATCAGCTGTTGACTGAGGTTGAGAATAAGAGCAATTGACTGCAAAGAGGCATGAGGTTACTTTTTGCAGTGATGGAAATTTTGATTACATGAGTGTATATATTTGTCAAAATTCATTGAACTGTGCATTTAAAGTGGGTGCATATTATTACATGTAAATTGTAATTCAACAGAATTGATTTATCTAATAAAAGAAAGAACAATTAGAAAATGAAAACAGCCCAGCTGGGCGTGGCTCAGCGATTGAGCATCAGCCTTTGATTCAGGAGATGGAGTTTTGATTCCTGGTTAGGGCACATGCCCCGGTTGAGGGCTTGATCCCCCAGTAGGGGGCGTGCAGGAGGCAGCTGATCAATGACTCATCATTGATGTTTCTATCTCTCCCTCTCCCTTCCTCTCTCTGAAATCAATAAAAAGATATATTCAATTATGGATATAGTATTGGTCTCTCTGAGCACCCAACTCTTGGACAACAAATCAACCAGGTAAACAAAAGAAATTCAGAAGAAAAGTGACTTTTTGTGTGTGCTCATTCCATCCCCAACCTCCACACTACCAGAGTATCCTCCTGGGTGCTCTGTTCTCCCAGCAGCTGGCTCAGCTGTGGATAAGCTTTCTGCACTCATTCTTTACAAAAGAAAGTTTCCTAGGAAAATAAATGGGAGAAAATAAAACTAAAAACACATAACAAGTGAAGAGAAGCCGATATATTTTCAGAGCACAGATCCCGTCTCATAAGGTCATTCAAGTCTGGTACCAGGTGGGCGTGGCTGGCCCAGGGCACTGGACACATGGTATCTATGGATATACCCTGGTGAATAGCAGGTAGCCAGGGAGCCTGATGGACCCCCTGTGTGGAGAACAGAACAGTACTATGATAGATATGCTAAGAGCACTCATAAGGGTCATTTCCCTGTCAAATTAAATCTAGGTGCTCTATTTCCATTCCTTAGTCTTTTCCTGCTGTCTGACATATCTTTTGCCCCCCCACCCCCGCTCCCCGTTTAGTCTGCCTGTTGAAATCCCTCTCAACCTTCATGGCCCAGCTAGAATAACACCTCCTCCTTATCAGGTCCCATAGTCCTTTCCTGGAACTCCTATGGCACTTGGCCTGAAGTGCTCTTACAGAAATTTTGATTTGTATTTTAGTCATCATGTGCACACCATATCTACTCTATCAGATTGTAATTTTGTTGATTATAGAAACTATAACTTATTATCTATGCTAGGCGTAGCCTGTATACTTTCTAGGACATTACTAAGAACTTGGTGGGTGTTTTGTGTACATTTATTGTAGAAATTAATGAATGTTACAGTCCACGCTGATTCATATCTCTGAACTTTTGCTAACACTGTTCCCCTTTTCTGGAAAATCCTTCCCACTTCAAGTGCTATTGACTCCAATAAGCTTCCCTAGATTCCCAAGCTGTTGGGCCCCTATCGCACTCTGGGCATCTCCCTATCTTATCACTTAACGACCACCATTGTATATTAAAATTAAATATTTATTACTTGTTTCACCTACTTTACCATAAGCTCCAAGAGGCCAAAGATTTCATCCTAGTCATCCTTATTTTACCACCACCTAGCCTGGTGTTGGCTAGTAGCATGCATTTTATAAATGTTTTCAAACATTTATATGATCCCTACAGAAGTTAGCCCATGACACAGAGGGCCTGGTTTATTTACTTTGTGTTCCTATTCGAGTGGTCAAAACTGTCCTGAGCTCAATTCCCAGAGAAAACTCAGCATAAACAACCTTTCCATCCTTAAGTTTACTCTTCACTGGACGAAGGAGTTAGGACTAGGTGTTCTCTAGGGTCTCTCAGAGTCCTGTGATCCTTGTGTTCAGGGAATTCCCCAGCAGAACAGGTTGTTGAGTACAAAAGACGCAAGTGTGACCTCTCCTCAGGTCTTTAAGATGGACCTCTGCCTCGGGGATGGCTGGACATCGGGAAAAGAATGTGTGATCCTTTCAGAGTACCCATGAATTCCTCTTTTAAAATACATCTCTCTCCTTTTTCTGCTCCCTTGTTCTCCCAGCCTCTCCCTCCTCTTTCCCTCTTTCCTGTCTGCGCCTCTTCTCCTGCCGGTCCCTCGGCACCTTCCCAGCACCTGTGCTTCTGCCCCTCCCGCTTTCCCTTTCTCTCCAGATTTATCTTACCTGGCTATCCTTCGTGTATTCTGCTTCCCTACCCGCTGTCTCACTCGCCTCTCCCCTCTCTGGTCAGCCCTGCAGGAAGCCGAGACTTCTCACGACGCCTGGAGGTGGGAGGCGGGGGGGTGGGACCTGGTGCCACGGTCCCGCCCCTCAGTGCGTGTGTGAATGTGTGGCCGTGACGCGGCGCCGGCGGCGGGAGGGAGGCTGGGCCCGCCGGAGAGGGCGGCGAGCGGATC